CTCTCTCTCTCTCTCTCTCTCTCTCACCTAGGTTAATGCTCCATCTCTCACTCTCCGTCTCGTTTGCTTCCCTGTGATAAGGGTCTGACGCAAGCCGAGCCCCACGCTGCGCCCGACGACGCGTTGCAATGGCGTGGCGAGGCGCGCGGGAGGCTGGGAGAAATACATGCCCCACTCCACTCGCGCTACGCCTGCACACGTTCTGCGTGGTCGGCCGAGGGAGCGGTTTAAGACAAAAAACGAGCCAAATGTAAAATCTAGGGTTGCTGAGTTTCCCATTGCAAGCTGGGTTCAACAATTGCTACTTTTGTATTGCAAGCACAAAAGCTGATTCGAAGCGCGTGGGCAGGTGAAAAGTCTCCGTCTTTGGGACCATTGCATTTCCACTTTTGCGATAAATAGGTCTTACACAGTGTAAGGTGGTTGCAAGTTGGCCGTGTCCGAGGCGGCGGCAGCAGCAGCAGCCAGCTCCTCTCGCAGCGCGGCCAACAGTCCAGAGCGAGCAGACAGACATCTCTCCCTTCATTTTCCGTCCGGCCGGATCTCAAGGCAGCATCGAAACAAAGGGCGACCCATCGAACGGAAGCGAGGCGTTGTGAGGAAAAAAAGGGATGGAGCCGGCGGGGATAGAGCGGGGGACGGCGCGGGGGCGGCGGTGTTTAGAAAATGAAACAAGCTGCTCAACTTCTTGCGTCAGTTTTATCTTCCCCGTTATACACGTTATTTCCGCTTATTTCCTGCTGCAATTTTATTTTTATGTCCGATTCCCTAATGTTCATGACAAAACGAAAGACAGAACTGAAGCGACTGAGGGCGATTTAGAAAGACACTCACTTGAAAAAATAGGAGCCGTTGGCGAAGCCGAAGAAGGGCACGGTGTAGGTCAGCATCCAGATATTGCCGCCTCCGCAGTCGTAGTAGGGCTTGCTCCACTTGCCGTCCTCGTACGTCACGCTCAGGATCTCATCCGGGTAGCGCTCCGTGTGCGCCGTCGAGTTGTACGTGTACGTGTTGTAGCCTGGAACAGAAAAGGGGGACACCCCCCGATCGTTGAAACAAAGCGTCGAGTTGGGCTAAACCGTACCGTCCGTCCTCCTCACCGCCTGCAAAACTCGGGATAGGCCGACCCGTCGGACGGCGCTGCTTGGCGGGTCTGCCTATCCAGTGGTTCGCAGGCGGCCTCCAACCGCAGTGGTCCACTTGACTAGACTTGACTAACCACGAGGCCTCTTTTGGCCCAAGGTTCATGATCCGACCGGAGCCGTTCATATAGCGAGGCCCTTCCACCGGGGCACGATGCTGAGCATACATGCTGATCCCGGTTTCCGGTTGCAAACCCAGCATCCTCAAAGATGGCAGCTAAGTGGGTTCCCGAACCCTTGGCAGCCCCGAACAATCACGGAGGGGGTTGCACCCCGTGTTCATTCCTCAGGGGGGCTCAGGGTGCGGGGGCCCTGGTTGATACAGCGCCGTCGTCCTCGGGAGGCAGCGGGACGCACCGGACGAAAGTGCTCGTCGGGTCAGCGTAAGCAGTGGTTCGCAGGCGGCCCCCGAGCGGGGTAGAAGTCTGCCAGCCGCACACGCACAGCACTGGTCGGCTGATGCGCCAGCCTAATTGGTTCGCAGGCGACCCCCTGGCCGGGTACTAGGCCACCATCGACACGGCACTGCTCAGCGAGTCCGCCCGGCCAACCCCATGGTTCGAAGGCGGCCCCTCCTGCGCGAGGCGCTGCTCGGCCGGACCGCCTACGCCACGGTGGGCCAGCGGTGCAGTGCAGCGGAACAACATTGGATTATTTGCGACTCTGGCTGCGCTCCAGCGACGGGCCCCGCCCCGCCCTGCCGCCCGCTTTTGTCGGAGCGCAAGGTGTCGGTGAGCGATTTATCAGCGTTGCTGGGCTGGGGCGGGCCTTGCGCTGCGGGCGATGTGTCTCCGTTCGTCCCGCTGCCTATTTCATCCCCCGCCGTTATTGTTGTTGATGTTGTCGCTGTCGTCGTGTGTCCACCACAATAAATATGCCACAATCAGGCGGGCGCTCCTAGCCGCGCACGGGCATTTTAGCCGCAACGAGAGAAATTTTTACGATCCCCGCCAGCAGTCTGCTTGTCTGCTGCTGGCCGGTGGTGTGACATGGTGTGAGAGATGGTGTTGTGTGATAACGTGGGGCGCGCTGACGGTTTGCTCTGGAGCAGCCATGCGTCACCCCACGCAGAGGCACCCTCAACACCCTGCATAGGCTCAGCAGCAGCCCCCGCCCCGGTGGTGCGCCGTGGCGAGCCTTAAGGTGTGTTGACAGCCCAGGTATGTGTTTTGCAAGCGGCCAGCCATAAATCCTCGGGAGCCAGCTGCCTGCCTGCCTGCCGCCGCCGGCCAGAAGGGAGAGCCCTTCCTCCCCCCCAAGCCCAGCCGGCGCCTCACCCGCCCTATGCCCCGGCACTCCCACCCCTCTTATTCTCACCCACACTGTCAGGCCCGCTCTGTTGCCGCTGCAATGCCGCTTCTAAATTAATCCCCGCCGCTTTAGGTCCGGCACATCTTCGCTATACGGCAGTACTTTCCGCATTCGCACCCGGTGGCGGCGGGTGAGGGAAGTAACATTGTGAAAAGAAATACCCTTTCGTAAATGTACATGTATTGTCTTTGTAATTTTATGGTTTACAAACAATATTGTTAATTAACGGTTGGCACCGTAAATTTAAGAATTTTATTATTTCACAATCGGAACTTTGCAAGATATCCGGTTTAATTTGTTAACGTATGCCCTACAGATCGTTTCACCAGTGATGGGCATAATGAACAACGCTAAAAGACTAGTGCCGAAAATAAAATGGGAAAGTGTGTTTTCTATATGTTTCTAAATGCAAAAAAATGAACACTGAGGAAAAAATAATGTATGCAGCCTCGGGTTAAAAAATAAATAAATCCTGGGGTGTGTCTTTGGGTCAAAAGGGATAAAGCACAGTTTGGTAAGCGGTGGTCGCATTCGCACGGCCCCGCACCTCACACGCACAGTCGAATACAAAAACATGCGTGCAACAGGTCGGCCCAAGAAGTCACGGCGCGAAAGGCCGGGGCCGGGTCGCTATTCACTGGCATGACGTTTACTCTGCGCGCGATCGAATAACGTTCAGGGGGCGACAGTGGACCCGGCAATGAAGATCTGAAAACGTTAAAAGTGATTAACCTTACAGGAATATGAAAGATATATGACATTAGAATGCATGGTCGAAGCCACAAACAACTTTTTGTTGACTGAATCGCGGAGTGTCCTAAAAGTTTGAACAGCAGCGCAAGATGCAGCTGCTGGGCTACAGCTCGGGAATCCGATATGGACAAACGACAAACGCGTTCTTTTGGCGGAAGAAATGGAAACTAAAGCCGGTTGAAACCTAGACGTATTACTTCTGAGATATGTTGTGTGACGAAGTCGTGACACGCAGGAAGCACACACACAAGTCAGTCAAAAAAAATTACTTGACTTGAAGAATACTTGTTTCTACCGCAAGCATAACACTGAGCCGCCCACGCCGCGCGTGCGGCGCCGCGAGAGGGCCCCACAGTAACAACCCAACCCCCGTAGCTGCGCAAACAAACACAGCGACCCCTGTTCCTAGAACCGGGCCGGTGCGGGGAAAGGGCCCGCCCGGCGGTCCGGCGGCTTCGTCAACAGAACAGTCTTAGCGAGTCAGTGAAAGGTAAAGGCCGTGAGCTCGGAGGGCCGGGCCGGGCCGGACCCGCGCGCACCGACCTCTCCGTGTTGTTGACTCGGCTTGACGAGAAGGCGCAATTAGAGAGTGGAGCAGCGCGCGACCGATGACCGATGCCGTCGAACCAAAGGACTAAAGACACTCGTCAAACAGGCTTCTTCGCGGCACCGCCGCGCCACCGGCAGCTGCGTCGACACGCGACCGCTCCCGAAATAATAAGGGAAAGCTCATTCGCAAAAAGAGAGGAGAGGGTGGATCGTCCCCATTTTCTTGAGCCGCAGAGTATTCTTTATTTCTCGAGAGCGCCGTCGCCGCCGCTGCCGCCGCATAACTCGACCGTCTGCCAAAATCGTTTTGTCGCCGGAGCTCTCTCTTCCCACGGCTCGCACACAAAGAGGGGCATTATTCAGAAATTTAACAAAAGCGATCAGCATGCATTAAACATGACGCGGCTTTGAATTCCCCGCGCCGAGTGTTTATCAACAAAGAGGCGCGGCGTCTCGTGACACGGGCAAGCGACACCCCACCCCACACAGGAGCACAAAGCTTGTAAAGACAGTATATTTTAAAAATTACTCTTTTCCTCTTTCCCCCCCAAAATAATTATTGGACTGTCACCGTCAAATTCACTTCATACCGTTTTCTTTGGATTTTCTTTTGACTCAAGGAAATTTCCATTTGAAATTTCCTCGAATTTAATAAAATTAAATGGAATTTCCTTGAGTTAAAGAAACCATTTTCGGAGTGCAGGGTTTCATTTTAGTCGCGAAGGGTAGGGTGCGGAGAAATAAATCATGACAGGGTCAGATGTTATTGACTTATTCCCCCACGAAAGGAGTAGGCACCTTACTAAAATTTCCCCCCCCAACGCTTGGAGTTGTGAGAGAAGAGGAAGGGGGGGGGGGGGGCAAGAAAAAGATAGAAGGGGGGAGAAGAAAGTAAAGGCCGCTGCCAAGGCAAGTGCGTTAGGAGTACCAAGAAGAGGAGCGCAAGGAAGAGAGCCGTTCATTACGTAGCAGCGATGATGGGGTGGGTTGCACCCTGCCCTCCTCAACCCCATAGGGTGAGGGTAAAATGGAGAAAACAAAATAAAAAAAAAAACAATAAGAGCTCAGATTGGCAAAGAATAATTTTCTTGTAATTTCCACGTCAACGGCTAGGTACAAGGGTAACCGCAGCAGCAGCAGCTCCAACACAGTTCCCTGAGATGTATCAACGATGCGTACAGTGGCGTCCTACAAGTATACATATTCTGAATCCGTCTAAAACGGCACCGTCCCAACCAAAGCAAATCAACCGCCCAAGTTTACCTCTCGTTCTAGCTCGTCTCCTCGCATTCATCTCTCTGTTCACTCCACAGTGAAGAGGCACTCTGCCCGTGATGCGCCGGGGTAGAGAGAGAGGGGGGGGGGGTGCCCCTCCCCCCTTCTTTTTCTCCCTCCCCTCTTTCTGCTTTTAACATTGATTCCTCCGCCCGGGTCGGGAGAGGTACAAATCTCGTCGCTCCCGCTCCGCCGGCGACCCGAGAGCGAGAGAGAGAGAGACGAGTGGGTGGGCGATAAGGGAAGAGTGAGGCCCGCCGGCAGCAGATAAGAGTAATATCTATCACGCTTCCCACTAGTTCATCCGTGAAGGAGAGCAGAAGAAGAGAGTCGCCGCCGCGGCTCCTGATGGGCGGGAGAGGGAGAGAAAAATGGGGGGACCCATAGGGGCGTTGGTGTCTGCGTCCGTGTGAGTGTGAGAGGTGGACCTTTGGTGGTGTGCTCTGCGGCCGATGCTGACTCACTACCAGTTGTGCAACCACCACCCTGCCACTAAGTTAGATGTGGCTGTAGATAATAAAATGGGCAAAGGCTAACGGGGGCAATGTACTAACCCGCAGTTCACCAAGCTTCTCCACTAAAAACTCGAAGACAAAGCACTACAAGGCCCCCCTTCCCCCGTTTTTTTAAACAACGCTAGTTTAGCGGCATACGGGCCATCCCTCACGAGTTCGATGTTAGAAGCCACGCTGCTGGACCAGGGAGTGGCCAACAGGAAAAGACAGGAGGTAGGGGGACGAGGGGTGGAGCCTTGGGAGCGCAGGTAGCGGGAATTCATTTAGGGGAAGAGAGGGACGGACGGAGGGGCCTTGCTAAACTCAAACCACTAAGAAGATAAGAGCCTCCTGGCCGAGGACGGGCTTGAAGGAGGCGGCGATGAGGCGGGCGGGCAACGACGCCCTGGAGAATATTGATGAGCGGCAGGGTGTACCGCAGCCTGGAGTGTAGCTCCTGGAAGCGTCCATAATGTCCAGCTGGATGGAAATGT